TGCAAAATTTAGCCAATCAGATTTTTTAGCTTCAACATCAGCCAAACTTCAGCATCAGCCGTAACATTTATTATTATATTAACAAATTATCAGGTTACCATTAAAGTAACTATTAAAGTAGTACGTACGTATGAAATAATTATCATAAATGATCATAAATGGTACGATTTTTCTTTTTAAAAAATTCGGGTATTTTTTTTTTTAATAAGAATTTCAATAATGAATATCTTTAATATACGTACTTACGTACGTACGTACACGCACAGAGCAATAACGTATGGACATACGTACGTGCTTACCAGTTACGTTGTAACTAATTTAATGAACATCTGTGTTTTTTCAATATCAACTATTTTTTTTTTTCTTTGTGGAATTGCGATAATGCGCATACAAATGCAGATCGAAAAATGGAATTAAATTTTTAGCCTAACCAAATAAGGAGTAATTCGTACACCTTTTATTGATAAATAGATTGTTTTCTAAAACTCGAGGACTGGTAATACCGTTTTACGTAAAAATATTTTCCATAAATAAAGTAAGACATACCTAAACAAGTCAAAGATCCACAAAATCTTAAGTAGGACTAAATGTATTAATGAAATCTTTGATTCGCATAGCCACATTAAAATCTGTGACTAGTATGGAATTTCTAAATTGACTGGGTAGTATGTGTTACAGCATTTATAAAGCATATAACACATAATCATTTTTATTATTATTAAAATTTATTTACGTATTTATTTTCTTCTTTTCTCTCACTTCCCCAAGCAATTATTTCAAATAAGGGAAAAGTTAGCGTATGCGGTTTTGAAAATTAACTTCACTTTTTTCATTCATATCTTGCTGTATCATTGAAACACCATTCATTCATATTCCTTTAAGATCTTTTTTGAATTACTCAAATAATTTTTCCTTTTTTTTTTTTTTTACAACTATCATTAATAATCAAATATTAATCGCATTTAAAAAATTTTAAATTTACATAAAGTTTATATAAAGTTTCTATAAAGATTATACAGTATAAAGATTATATAAAGATTATACAAATGTTTCAAAAAATAAAAAACTATAAAAAAAACACTCAAAAAAATGTTGTTGATGTATCAAAAAAGGATAAAGGAATTATTTCTAGGAGTAGTGGAAGTTTACGAAGAAGTTGGAGTGCTATAAGAAAACAAAAGAGAGATATTGAACAAATGGTTACTTTAAATGAAGCTTATTCAATTATTCATTTATGTGCTGGGGAAGTATTATCAAGAGGTTAGTATCTTATTATCAAGAGTTCTTGTCAAGAGTTCTTGTCAAAAAAGTTAAACAAAAAAATTAATCGCGTGAAATAAATTAAAATAAATAGGATTAGGTGAAGATAATTTATTCTCACCTGTTGATAATGAGGATAACCCTGATGAGGTCAGGTACCTTATCAATTGCCTTTTACGTGAAAATCATACGGAATTCGAAGATGAACTTAAGTTTCAAGACATTCGTAATATAGTCTCAGGTATTAGGTGGACTCTTAGAAGATGTGTCACTAGTATAGTGACATATAAGAATTACGAAAATTTTGTTCGCTTAGAAAGTGGTAAGTTTGTATACTACCTGTTATTATTATTATTGTTAATATCTAATATAATAAATATATTAACGCTATGTATAACTATAATTTATATTTTATGATTATATAAATTATATAAATTATATAATTATATAATTATTAACATATATAATTATATATAATTATACGTATAAGAATTACAATACGATGCACGTAAAGGCATATTCAATCAATTCTTATCCAATCTTTCAAAACCAAGTCAAGCAATTCTTCTGGAATTATTTGAATTATTTTCTCAAGTAATGACTCAAGCTCATATAAACAAAATTCCTGCTCAAAGAGTACTCAAATCAATGGCTCATTATATTATCGGTGATAAAGAATTAAAATTTGAAAATTTTAGTGCTGCTTATACAAAATGGTTAAGATGCTCTAACGCATGTACTCATTTATTCCTTGCTTATTTACGTGAAAGAGCTTGTTCTGCTAGCCTTCCTCCTCGTTTAAATATTTTATTGGATGGTTATGTTCAATTTCGTAAAAAATCAAGATCTTCTCCTGATTATCATCATCCTTTAGCCGATATTACTATTGAAGATTTACAATTAATTATTAGACCAAAAAAACAACGCCAGAAGAATAATGTAATCCCTCGACAGATTGATTCTATAAGGAATAGTGGTCTATCTCGTCAATTCGATCCCACAAAGAATAATAACGATCCTACAAAGATTAATAATGGTGTTTCACGACGATCCGGTCTTATATTAAATAATGGAACTTTACGACAATCCACTGCTACTTTAAATAATAATAATAATAGACAAACTAGTTCTATATTATTAAAATCAATGATTAAAAATGAACATGAAAGTATGCTTTCTAGAGGTTCATTAACCATTGCTGAAATGTTTCCTGATATTGCCGAATCTTTGGATTCTCTAAGACGAAAAACTACTTATCAAAATTTGGAAAATATTATTGAAGATTCTCAAACTGCCGCTCAAAAATGGGATGAATTACAAATTAAAGGATTTAATGTCCTTTCTGAAGAAGCTTTAAAATTATTCTTTGCTTATGATGATAGAAGTTCAAATCCTTGTGCTAGTATTGTAAGAAGACGTAGTAGAAAATTTAATAAGAAAAATTTTGATCAAAGATTTTTAGAAATTCTTCCAAATATTGAAATTGATAGTGAAACATTAAGAGATAGTTTTTTTCAATCTGGTGGAAATAATTCTAAAGTTTCTTTACGTGCAACTGTTGTATGGGATGAATTTGAAAAAAAAGGTTTTAGAGATTCTGTTGATACTAATTCAAATGCCCTTAGTCTTTGTTCTACCTTAGGACCATCAACTACTTCTGTACCTATATCCGAAGTAACTGAAACTGAAGTAACCAATTTTGAAGTTAATGAAATTAATGAAATTAATCAACCGCTATCGCAAAATAATGAAGAAATACAAATACGAACTCAAGAAAGATCTTTACCTATAAATCGTCGTACTAAACGGAAAAATAAACCTTTTAGAAAAACTTTTTGCTTTTTATGTGTACGTCCTGGTTCAAGTTTTTCAGGTTTTTCCGTTACAATGGAAACGGACGAAGATCAAGATGTAACAAAAGATAATTTTATGGATTCTCACGTGACCATAGAACCTATTAACAATAGTTTCCCATACATGTGGGTCGAATCTAGTGCTAATGAGAGAAATAAAAAAGAACCTTGGGAATGGGTTTTTGTCGAACCTCGAGATGAGAGACATGAAACTGAATGGATAATGTTTGAAGATAAAAAACGATTCTTTTCCGAACGAGAAAAAGAAAAACGTAGAACGCGTAAAAGATCTCTTTTGAACGCTTTAAATACAATTAATGCTAATATGCCATGGTCAAAATCTAATCGTAGAAATCGTTCAACTTCAGTAGAATTCACTCCTCAAGATGATAATAATAATTATGATCATGAAGAAGATGATGATATTATAGGACCAAATAAATTTATAAATAAGATAAAGACTTCGATTCAACAAACTCGATCAAGTCCAACAAGAATTCCACCAGAAAGTGAACTTGAATTACGGAATTCAAAAGAAAATGGTGAAGGTTCAGGTTCATCACTAATATCACATGGTGAATATTATCCTCATGATATTTACGACGATTATATAGAGGAAGAAGAAGAAGAAGAAGAAGATAACAATGTTGTTGTAAATACAAATGCTGCTGTTACTTATTCACAACATAATATTAATGATAACATTTCTACATATGATGAGGCACCCACATCAAATATAATCAAACGACCAAACATTTTGTCATCAGGATATGATAATCTTTCAGTTTCTTCATTGGCATATAATCAAGATCAATATAATGAACAATCTTATGTGTTAGCGAGCAGAAGAATTTTACAACCACAACAATCAAATTATCATATGTTAACTGAGGGACCATCATATTCATCATATCAAATGCCTATTATACAATCAAAAAAACAAGAAATGAATAGGGAAATTATTAAATTTTAATAGAACAATTTTTTTTTTAGAATTACGATTTTTTTGTTTTTGTTTTGTAGATATTTTTTTTTTCTTAGTTTATTTTTTTTGGTTGGGCGCGTGATAGAACAAACATTTTTCATACATTAACTAGTACTTTCTTGAGTTCTTGAACTTATAAACTTCCATCACAACACTCTCTTTAATCCTACCTAATGTGTAAATCTAAATCTAATGCATTCTTTTTTTTTTTTTCTTTTTTTTTTTTTTTTTTTTTTGCTATATTAACTATACTAACGTCACTATTATTATGTTTTCTCGAAACTTATTATTATCTAACTTTAATATCGATAATATATTGGTTTTCTATTACATACCAATTAATAAACATTACACCACTTATTATTTTCACAAGTCATCATTTCGATAAATCGATTCCGTGTTATCATTTTCGAAATATGTGCATAGACGCAAGAAATGCATGCATGAAAATGTTTTAACATTTAGCGTTAGCCTACCTTAGCCACAATTCTTAATTTTAAATTTCGAATTCATGAAACTATATATATGTTGTAAGTGGGAATGGAATTTAAGTGGATTTGGAATTTCCTAGTTAAATTAGGGTTAGGGTTAGGGTGTACATATGATAAAATCATCCCCAAAACGGGGGTTTTATATACAAATTCCGAATCCGTTTCCACTTACAACATATATACGTAGTTTGTTTAAAGTTAAAAGCCATATATGTACATACAATAACATATCCATTAACGGTTTATAGATAATGCTATTTTTAGAATAATGCTTTATATTACGTAAGAATGACATATACTATCGGCATGTGCGTACATACTACGTAATAATGATATTTTTGCGATATCTGATAGGAATACGTATACATAAAAATAAGAATCACGTACGTACGTGTAATGATAAAGCATTACGTATCCGTACGTACTTACAGTACTTAACCGTTATGTATGGTACATATCAGACATCTGATATGTATACGAATGCACATAATAAAAAAACAATTATTCGAAATAATTTGAATAATTTGAATAATTTGAATAATTTTAAAAGTAAACAAACAATTTACCGTTACAGTATTATCAAAAAAAAATTTACTACCCCCTTAAATTTCAGTTATCACTTAATTTGATATATAAACACCGCATATAAAATATACATAAATAAAACTATATAAATTTGTTTATACAATTGCTAATATACAAATAAAAATTTACACACACATATATATATAAAAGTACGTATTAACGTTATGTTATGGTTAGCGTTAGTGTTAGAGGTGTTAAAGGTGTTAAAGTAATTATGATTCACCAAAAAAGGAAAAGTTTAAAATTTGGTTATGTATTGCAACATTTTACAAACTCATTTTACAAACTCATTGATCGAATTCTCCAACTTCCACCAATACTATTAGACCTTCCTGCTATACGTTCAGCCATTCCACCTCTTGGTTGCTCAGTAGGTAATCCTTTATACGTGTATCCAACAAATGCTAATGCTTTTCGCATATTTAATATATCTTTACCATGTCGTTTATCTCTTAACATAGGATCTCTTGGTTTCCTCTCACCATCAGGAGGAGCCAATGGATTATCATCGATATTATCTTCAAAGTATTTAGTATCTGTTTCATCTTTTAATCGAGGTATAAATGGTGGTGTCATTTTATGAATATTATCCCAATCAATACCTTTAAACCAAGGATGTGATTTAATATCTGATGCATCTCCTAAACCCATCACAGTAGATTTTCTATTTGCGAGATAAAGTTCATTTGGTCGAATTGTATTTTTTGAAGAACTTGAACCAAGACGAATTTCTTTTTCACAGATTAATTTTCTAATTAGGTCATGAACTATACAAAATAATAATTATTATCAAAACAAAAATTAATTTTTAATTAATTTTTTAATTAATTATTTATGCGTAATTATTTTTTAATATTCCTAATTTACCTTCACGAGAAATATATGTTGTAGGTGGAAATCTCAGATTGTTTTGCCAATCAATAATCTTTAAACGAGTTGTATGACGAGATTTGGCACAAAATGGAGGATATCCATACAACATTTCATAAAGAATTATCTAATAACAAATTGAATAAATTGAATAATAAGGTGAATAATAAGGTGAATAATAAGATGAATAATAAGGTAAATAATGAAAGTTTTTTTCAGTGTCGAATAAATTTACAAAATAATTTACTTACTCCAAGGCTCCACCTATGCGTATAAAACAGGGTAAATAGAAATATAATTGATAACAATTGATAATATAACAATTAACAATATAACAATTGATAATATAACTATTAGGATAAGTAGATACTTACCAGTCACAACCTCTGCCATACCCTGATCCTCTTAAAACTTCAGGAGCCATATAATTATTTGTTCCGACAATAGAGTAAGCCATATTCTTACGATGTTTATCTCTCCAACTTAAGATACGAGTTTTAGGGACATCATTATCAGAATCAGAATCATCAGACCATTTATGTAACCATTTTGTTGATTGATATTTTTTTCCCATTAATCTTGAAAGTGTATCAGTTTCAACATCAACTCCTGTTTTACGTAAAAGATCTCGACGTTGTTGGTCATAATATGATGAATCATGTGCCCAATGAAAATCTGTTGCCAATCCAAAATCTGAAAGTTTTATATGTCCATCTCGATCAAAAAGAAAGTTATCAGGCTAAATGAAAAATAATTATAATAAACAATAGCGTTATAATTACAATTAACATTAGCGTTATGGTATATATAATTTATTAGTTAATTATATATAGATTAGATTAGATTATATATAGATTAGAAAAAATCATTTAACGTTACCTTTATGTCACGGTGAATGTAACCCAGTTTGTGTGCCTCTTCGATACATAATACCATTTCAGCGACATAAAATTTAGCAAAGTTTTCCGCAAAAGTATCTTTTTCAATAAGTAAATTCAATAAATCACCACCAGGCATATATTCCATAACAAGGTATAAATGATCAGCGTCTTGAAAAGAATAAATCAACTTTATTATCCATCTAGCAGATTCAGAAGCAGCTGTTAATAAATCCCTTTCAGCACGTATATGACCTTCTTGACCTTTTTTTAACATATCGGCTTTTCTCATAATTTTCATAGCATATAATATACCAGTATTTTTTTCACGAACAAGTTTAACAACACCAAAAGCTCCATGACCTATTGTTTTAATCATTTGAAAAGCATTAACAGTAATTTTTTTACGTAAAATACGCATATAATCAGATTCAAGTGCAAGCCATTCTTGTCGAATTTCACGTTTATCTTTATCAGAAATTGCCATTTTTTCAAGTTCGGCTTCAAGTTGTAAACGTCTTTTAGTACGTCCTGATGGTTTCTTAAGTATACCATAAAAATAATTTTCAAAATAAATTTTAGTTGCAACGGATTTTTCAATTGTAGCTAAAGATGGAACAATATTTTGTAATGATGTATCTAAATATTGATTATTTAATGTTTCGGAATTCTTGATGATAAATGTTCCTGTACTGTTTTCTTGTACTCCACTAGATGAATTATTACCATCTCTTCCAATATATAAATTTGGTAATGTTTTATATTGCATTTTAGTATCTAGTAACAGTATAGAATTTTACATTAAGTGATATCACTGAAAAGCTATAACTGAAAAAGTTATAATAATTGATATTTGATATTTTTATGCTATTTACCTGGCATTTTATTTACAGTAGGGTTCTCACTCCAATATAATAATATTTCTTGAGCTTGCTCTTCGCTTTCAGTATGAATAAGATGTCTATCAAAAATGGTATAAAAATAATATAAAAATAAAATTTTCATTTTTAAAAAAGTCCAGCTTAAATACTAGAGCGAATATTGGTGCCGTTAAGGGAAAACCTGACTTTGGACTTTCAATTATATTTCGTGTATAGTTAGCCGTCTATGAAAAATCTATCATAATGATAGATTTTTCATAAACGGCCAACTATACACAAAATATAATTGAAAGTCCGAAGTCAGGTTTTCCCTTGGCGGCACTCATATAATAAATCGATTGACATCATACTCGAAATCAGCAGGAGATGATATATCATCTTTGTTAAAACGTCGTTTCATAAAAGTACCAAATTGTAAAGGAACTAAAACAATAAATCAATATGATTTTACAAGTAATTCACAATTAGATATATGTTTAATTAAACACGTGAAATCATATATAATGTTAAAACTTTAAGAATGCAATAACTGATTATTACCATTCATCCTCGATGCAACATAATCGAGAATTTCATAAAATCTTGGAGAAGTAATACCATTTCGTTTATTACCAGGTGGTGATTTTGCTCGTGGTTGAGTACCACTATTAGTTGTTACAGATTTTTTTTTAAACATTTTTTTAATTAAAATTGATTTTATTGTTTAAAAAAAAAAAAAATTAAATTTATCGATAAAGAAAGAAAAATAGGTTGATCTCAAATCCTCTTATTAAATGAAAGATTCTTGTATCACCCATAAAAGGAATCAGGGGAATTTTAAAAGCGGAATTAAGGCACGTACGTAACGTGCGTACTAGAGTTACGCATGTACGTAACGTATTATAGTAGTATTGTACGGAGGTAAATTCTAATGTTCATTCAATTATAGAATAATTATAGAATTTAGGGAGTTAATTCAAATGTAACTCGTAGTGCGGATCTATACGAATTTCGTATTACCAATTCAATGAGTTACGAATTTGAATATTAGGAATAGTCTCGCTAAAAGAAGGTGGAAAAAGCTTATTATATACTATATATACTATGAAATAAATTCTAATTTGAATATTCTCAGAATACAGAGATAACTGCGGTAATTCTAATAATAAATAATAATCAATTACGAAATTAATAATAATATTCGATATTTCCGTTATAAACTAATATGACCCAATATACAGATATAAGAAAGAATATAAGAACTTGTAAAGTTTTCTTACATGTCAAGAGTTTCTTTATACGTGCGTATCGAGCGTCATTTGTATAGTTAGCCTGGTTCTTTAATTAAATTTAAGGAAAATTTTTCAATGCATAATTACGATATCTTTTGAAACTTCAGAACTTTTAACGTTAATGGAAAGGGGGAATTGTTTATCATTATCAGTTTTTAGTAATTCCATTACCAAACATTAACTCATTGTGACCCGTGATGAATCAGCTGATTTTAAAAACCAAGATCACGGTTAGAAAAAAAAATTTTTTTTACCCCTCATTCTTTTTTATATTATGTCAAAAATTAAAATCGATCGTACAAAGGATGTTCAAATAGATGAAGATGTCAATTTTGAATCCTTGATTACAAATCAAAACATTTTACGTGGATTAACAGAAGCAGGTTATGATCGTCCTTCTCCAATTCAATTAAAAGCTGTTCCTCCAGGAAAACTTGGGCTTGATGTTATTGCTCAAGCAAAATCGGGAACTGGAAAAACGATAGTATTTGGTGTTATCGCATTGGAAATGTTGAATTTGAGTAATACTAGACCCCAGGTTTATATATTTCTTGTTAACATTTTTGTTATCGATTTATTATTAACGATTTATCACGATAATTTACAATTTTTTTTAATTTATTTATTTTCGATTTATAGGTATTGATTTTAGCACCTACCAGAGAAATAGCTGTACAAACAAAAGAAGTCATTTCAAACATTGGTCGTTGTATGGTTGGTCTGGTTTGTCATGTATTTATTGGAGGAATTCCTGTTGAAGAAGACATACCAAAACTTAAAAAATGTCATATAGCAATTGGATCTCCTGGTAATTTTATATTTTTGGATTTAAAATTAATAATGAACTCAAAATTAACAATGTTAATCAAAATTAACAATGGTAATCAAAATTAACAATGTTTTCATATTAGGTCGTATTGGTCTTTTATTAAGCAAGCAAATGACTGCTAAAGACATCAAGTTACTTGTGTTAGATGAGGCTGATAAATTAATGGAAAGCAATTTTGTGCCTCAATTAAAGTATTAATTTAGATTTATTTATCTATCTATTTATTTATCTGACATAATTTTTAATTATTATATATTTGTTAAATTTATATAGAAAAATAAATAATAAACTTCCAAAAATTAAGCAAGTACTTGCATTTTCTGCAACATATGACAAGGCTTTGTTAAAAACTCTTGAAAAGTTTGTTTGCAATCCGTATCATATCATGCTTTCGGAAGATACTCCAGCTCTGGAAGGTAAAATCAATTATTGATTTATTCATATTCATATTCATTATATTTTTATTTGTTATATTAAAATAAATGTTTTTATCTTTTAGGTGTATTGCAGTATTACCAAATAATAGAAATTCCAAATACGACTAATGTTACTGAAAAGTTCAAATTCTATGAAGATAAGTTCAGAAAGTTGGTGGATCTTTTGAGTCGTGTTCCGTTCTATCAGTGCATTGTTTTTTTAAATCATCGGGGAAGGTGATTATCTATTATCAATGTTTGTTTTATATGTTTAATTTGTTAAATATGTTAAATATGTTTTATATATTTAATATATTAAATATATTAAACATGTTTTATATACTTAATATGTTTAATATGTTAAATATGTTAAATATGCTAATATGGTTAATTTAAATTCATATCTACATAGGGCTGTTGATCTGGCAAATTATTTAACAAGCCAAGGGTGGATGGCAATGAATATATCAGGCATGATGGTGTGAAATTTTACTAGTATTTATTTTCGATTCTGTACAATGTACTTATATATATGCATAGGTGGGCTTGATCAAAGAGTGCGTCTTGAAACAATGTCTAAGGCTCGTAATTTTCAAATAAGAGTCCTTGTTTGCAGTGATTTGGTATGCAATAATCTGAATTGTTAAAACGTTTATGATGTTTGTGATGTTTTGTGAATATTCTTATTTTATTTTATTTCTTTTATGAAAGATTGCCAGAGGTATTGATATTGATAGAGTAAATTTGGTGGTAAATCTTGATATGCCAAAGGATGCTGAAACTTATCTGCATCGTGTTGGCAGGACTGGACGTTATGGTAATTATTTCTGTACTTTATAAATGATATATATCATTGCGATAATAATATTTATTTAATTTGATTATTAATAGGAACTTACGGCCTAGCGATTAGTTTTGTTGATATTAATGAGTTGGAATTTATGGAATCTTTGAAAACAAATTATCATGTTGATGTTCAACCTCTTCCTGGTAAATTCCTCTTATTTTCTTTTGGTATAATTATATAATTTTAAAATATATATCTCTCTCTATTTTAATTGTAATTGTGATTGTGATTTAGATGAAATTTCATTTAAGCATCATCAAAGGCCGTTGGAAACCGAAAATGATCAAGAAGCATATGAAAACTTGTTGAATATAAGGCAAACAATAAAAGTATGCTAAATATCATAAATAATGATTTATTATTACAAGTTATCTATTTCTTAATTGATAATGTTATTTATCTAAAATCTAAAATTCCTAGACTCAAAATCCTGAAGTTCCACCAGTCGTATTCTCTGAAGATACAAATTCAAAGATTAAAAAAACTAAATCAAAAGTGCAAAAAGAGCCAGAAGAGATTGAAGAAACATCTTATTACCCATACTATGATACTTATAACACTGATTATTATAATTGGATGTATAATACTTATAATACTGATTATTATAATTGGATGTATAATGCCTATAATACTGATTATTATAATTGGATGTATAATGTGACACCTGATGGCACTGGTGAATATCATAACAATTATGATTTTATACCACCTGATCTTACTTTTTAAAAGCTTCTACAGTTCGGGAATTCTTTTGAAATTCTCGGAATCTTTGTAAAAAAAAAAAATTATAACTGAAATTATTGTCTTGAATTTTCTTTATCAGAATATTCTGTTAAATATTTGATATTCTTTTCGATTTTGTCCATTTCTAATTATTAACAATGCACTTGAAAATGACATAACGGGCTTTTATTGTAATTGGCTGATTTTTGTAGATCATCCCGTGATATTGCAAAAATATCATTGGTTAATCGAAATTATTCGCAAGGCAATTTTTTATACGAAACTAATTACCGTAACGACTAAACAATCATTACTGTATAAAGTTAAATTGTATTAATAAATACCTACTACGAAATTTAACAACTCGATGTCTAAGATCATCATCCCGATACAAATAGAGTTATATAAAAAAAATACTATTACAAAGATAATATAACGCCTACATTAGAACTTATTATTTCTAATAAAACACCCTATTACTAAATAAAGTCTAAATTAGGTAATACAAGTCCTGTAAGGGAATAGGCTCCCACATCAGCTAAACCTGACTCATTTTTAGTAAGGTAGCGAAGAAGAATATTGCGAACACCATTAATATCTCTATCGAGCATTGTTTTACATTTAGGACAACCGCAACATCTGGCCCATAAAGCATGTGAATATCCATGGTGTCGAATAATTATTTGTACAGAAGAATATACAAGTAAAACTTGTGGATTCTGTGGTTACATCCAGTGTTGGAAATCATATGTTCACAGTGTTCACAAGAGCATAAATTTTTTAAAAAAATCAAAATTTTTTTATTTTATGTTCACATTTGTGAACATAAATAAATTTTATATAATTAATAAAATTTTATTTATGATCATTATTTTTTTTTAATGTGAACATGATAAAAAACAATATATGTTCACAAAAATCATCATACTGTCTTATGAATTTCCGACACTGGTTACATCCATCACAAGCTAGGTGGATCTAAAGTATTTCGTTGGGTTCTGGTAGAATTCGCCGACAACCATTTCGCCGACAGCCACTTCGCCTACAATCTCCAGCCAACACTAACTATAAAGCAGGCCAACCTTAGCTAAATCGGGTCAAAATTTGTCGGCGAAATGGCTGTCGGCGAAATGGTTGTCGGCGAAATTGGTTTATACCGATGTTGGTTGCCGAAAACGAAAATGTGACCATGTACAGTAGCCACCAAAAGTAATGCCCGATTTATTAGGTAAAAATAAAATTTTTATTTATTTTATTTTTGCATTACAATACATTAAATTTTTTTTTTATTTAATATCTGTATACACATCTCTCTGCATCTGCCACTGTCTTGATTCTTCATGGTACTGAGTTCACAACCACTCAAAACACCAACTTATCCACCCTTACCCACTTCTTCTTCAAGGCTATTTTAAACTGGTTTGCATCTCTTGGAAAGTTTTCATGATTCTGGATATTGTCTTTTACAATCTTTTAGATGTTTTCTATTGGATTTAGATAAATAACATTATCAATTAAGAAATAGATAACTTGTAATAATAAATCATTATTTATGATA